CAGCACTTTGGGAGGCCAGGGCGGGTAGATCACTTGAGGTCAGGAGTTGAAGAACAGCCTGGCCAACATGGCGAAACCCGGTCTCTACTGAAAAAAAAAAAAATAAAAAATACAAAAATACAAAAATTAGCAGGGCATGGTAGTAGGCACCTATAATCCCTGCTACACAGGAGGCTGAGGCAGGAGAATCTCTTGAACCCAGTGGACAGAGGTTGCAATGAGCCAAGATTGAGCCACTACAGTCCAGCCTGGGCGAAAGAGTGAAACTCTGTCTCAAAAAATAAATTAATTAAATAAAAATAAATAAATAAATATAAAAGGAGCTGCTACACACACAGATTTCACATGGCTTCCTACTTGTCATTACGCTGCTTTAAGACTGTTCTTTCAAGGGCTGGGCACAGTGGCTCACACCTATAATCCCAGTACTTTGAGAGGCCGAAGCAGGCGAATCATGAGGTCAAGCAGGCGAATCATGAGGTCAAGCAGGCGAATCATGAGGTCAAGAGTTCGAGACCAGCCTGGCTAACAAGGTGAAACCTCGTCTCTGCTAAAAATACAAAAAATTAGCTGCATGTGGTGGTGTGCACCTGTAATCCCAGCTACTCAGGATGCTGAGGCAGGAGAATCGCTTGAACCCGGGAGGTGGGGGTTGCAGTGAGCCAAGATTGCACCACTGCACTTCAGCCCAGGAGACACTGCGAGACTTCGTCTCAAAAAAAAATTGAAAAATAAAAAATAAAGATTCTTCCTCAAGGAGAACAGTGGCCACAGGTGGCCTCCGGTGGGGGCCCCTGCTTGGCAGGTCTCACCTGCACAGTGACCACGAGGATCTTGACCACTTGCAGCATCAGCTTGCAGGGCTTGCGGCCCTTGGCTCGAAACTTGTCGCACGGACTCATGAAGAAGTATTTCAGACGACGTCGAAGGTCTTCCTCTTCTGGGGGTGTCGGAGGGGCCGGCAAAGGCCCCGCCTGGGTCCCATACCCAGGGTTGGGGGTCAGAAGCCGCTCGGTCTCTGTGGGAATAGGAGAGGGCATTGGGGGTAAGGCCTGGGCAACTCCCCTTTACCCGTTTCTGAACAAGGAAGGCAGCACATGCCCTATCTTCATGGCCCCACATTCCTGCCAAGGAAGAGCTCAGAGGGGTCTAAAGAAAATCAGAAAACCAGGGCTGAGTGCTCACGCCTATAATCGCAGCATTTTGGGAGGCCAAGGTCGGTGGATCACAGGGTCAGGAGATTGAGACCATCCTGGCTAACATGGTGAAATCTCATCTCTACTAAAAATACAAAAATTAGCTGGGCATGGTGGCATGCACCTGTAGTCCCAGGTACTTGGAAGACTGAGTCAGGAGAATTGCTTGAACTTGGGAGGCAGAGGTTACAGTGAGCCAAGATCGTACCACTGAACTCCAGCCTGGGTGACAGAGCGAGATTCCATCCCAAAAAAAAAAAAAAAACCAACCAGAAAACCTGCAACATTTTATGTTTCTATGCACCAGTCCTGTGCAGAGGTTATGAGCTGAGTTTCAGGAGGTACAGGGCCTGGGCTGATTCCTGCCCCTCCTGCTCACCAGCTTTCTGAGCCTCAGTTTCCTCATCTGCAAAATGGGGCAATAATCATCTCTCATGGGAACACTTAGGACTGGATGCTTATAAAGCACAGGGACTGGTCCATGGTGAATGTCAGAACATTTCATCAACGTTCCTGTTACTGATCTGCGGGAAGAGAATTAACTGCTCCCACTGGCTTTTCACTGGACGTTCAAGGCTCCTGGGCTTATCCCAACTCCTGCTTCCAGATATGAGCATAACACTCAGCCTGTATTCCAGGTTTGTCTGGACAAATACCCAAAAGATGACTTCTGCATTCATTATAACCTGGCCCATCAGCTGACACTCTCAGAAGCCAAAGACCTGGAGAAGGGGTAATTGACAATATAAGTAATAATAACGGAACATATTTGCTAAAGACTTTTTTTTTTTTTTTTTT